GCATTGGCTGCGCGCGCGCGGGGGGCGGGTGGATGGGGCATTGGCGCTCTGCCTGCGCCGCAGAGCCGCGGGCAACCGGGGCTGGGAGCCAGGCACTTCAGCCCGCCCCGGCTCTGCCTGTGCCACCCCGCAGCCGGGCTCGTCCCCCCGCATCTGGGCCGAGACTCGCGGCTGGCACGGGGCGGGGGCGCTTGCTGCGTCTGCCTCAGCGTCGCTCCTTCCTCCTCCTTGAGGCAGGTCCCTAGCTCAATGGCGCCGCACTGGTGTGCTGGGACCAGGCTGGCACTGCAGGATGAGGAAGAGGCTCTGCTGGCAGCTCTCTTTAAATACAAGTATCTAAGGGGGAAAAGAAACACCCGAAGAGATGACTGGCCAGAGGAAATAGCCCTCCCTTTAAGTTTCCTTGAATGAAGGAATCGAGGAGTAGACAGCAAGTACATCTTCCGTTTCACCCCTTAAGGTACAGGGACTCCTCCACTTCTTCAGTGGTGGGGATAAGTAACGCCTTGTGGCTCCAGCGACTGGGCTCCACACCCCTCTCAAAAAGCTTTAACCATTGCACCCCATCTAGTGCCAGCCCGGAGCCTAGCAGAACTTCTGATCAGCTCTCAGATAGATAGATACATATTAGTTGTATACATTATATATTCGTTAGATGCACGACTAATTAGTGGCTCTACAAAAAAATCAGCTACTGTAGCAGGAGAGCTCCCATATTAGTGAGGGGGAAAAAAGAAGCTCATTTAGCATTCAGTCAATAAGCCAGAAATCTTGAGTGAAGATGGGACTGAAAAGTTAGGACTACAGTGTAGAAGATTGTAATGGAAACCAACATGTTTATTACAAAAACAAAACAAAAAAGCCTTAAAAAATACGTTGATGTAAACTTTGTTTTCAGTGGTGCTCACGGTGAAATATGCACCAGAGGAGAAGCACAAGACCTTGTGACTTCAATTGCCAACTTCCTATCCTTTCTTCTAGGGAAAAAGGGCATGGCACAAATTATGCCATTTTCTACCATTGTCAAACAGCAAAGAATAAATCACTCCAGGCTTATTATAGGTCTGACTGACCAGTGTATCCAACTTCAAAGTTTAAAGTTTTCAAGCTTCTTTTCTCAGTGTTCTGGCAAATGTAGACGGACAGCAAGTGAAATAGTTGTTATTTTCTTTAAAGGTTTGATAGTCAAATTTTTTTTAAGGAAAACAAGACATACTATTAAATTTTTAATCATGTTATCATGTTCGTTTTAAACAAGTTTTTTACAACTGAAGATCAGGATGGCTATAAGACAATACCATACAAGTTGTCTTTGGAATTTTCCTCATTTAAAACAAAATACACAATACCCTTACCTGACCTGCTTCAGTAGGTTCTGTCACACCCAAAGGTGTGATTTTTGTTTTGTGTGTGCTTTGGCACCACTGAATTATGTTCCCGCTAAATTGCAGCTTCTTTGCACAGTGGAGTTTTCTGCTGCAGAGGAGAACCCCGGTGCAAAAGAATTCCCGCCAATTTGTAGCTTTCTTTGCAGGGTGCATTTCTTTGTTGCAGCACAAAAATGCTCGTTGCAAAGAGTTCCTGCCATTTGTATTCTAATTCGAGCCCCATTATTGGCTTGCGTGAAATTATTCACACGTGGCGGCTAGTGATTGGCTTGCTAGCCGTATAAAAGGCTTGAGTGGTTTTCGCCCAAGTTGGAGGACTCCACGAACACCAGGAGGAGGAGACTTCACGCTGTGTGAAGATCTCTAAGTGCTGCAGAGCCTATTGGACCCAGTGCATTTCAAGCAGGCAACAGAGGTCTGATCAACCTCTAGCCTCTCCCCGTCACCGATCGCAATCCTCGACGTATCCCTCTCCCTGCGCGCAAAAGGATCCATGGAGCCTCGACAACTCCGTGGGAGTGATCCGAGTGTTGTCTGAGTCCTCAAACAAGGATTTAAGCAGAGCTGTGCCTGGGAAACTGTCCAGCCTACACCGCGACCATCTTCGGTGTAAGTAAACAATCTTGAATCAACCATTACGCGTCCATGCCTAATTCCAGCATGTCGCCTGTTCTCTCCGACCCAGCATGCCCAGGCTGCTGGCCACAGCCCGCGCGGCGCGAAAAAGGGCCCGGATCGCTCCCGGCCCGCACAGGTTCAAAGTCTAATGCTTTCAATATAGGAAAAGCAAAACCACCTGGTTTTCAAAAAAAGTGGTGAATCTCTACAGACCTCACCAACTTGAGCTCAAATTGGGAGTATTTACCGCCTCTGAAGATCAGGTTACCAATATCTAAAGTTGTTGACCAAGGGAAATATGGGCCAGTTAGCCTAACATTGATTCTAGAAAAAATTAAATAGAACAGTCTGTTTAAGACTCCATTTTCTAATTCTTCATTGATAAAAAGTTACATTAATAACAGTCAGCATGTTTTCATGGCATGTAGATCTTGTCAAAAGTGATTGATTAAAAGTTTCTTGCTTTATATGGAATTAAAGAAAGCACACATTACATAGATTAAAAACAGGTCTGCTGACATTTCAAAGTGTAGTTGTCAATGGAAAGATATTTACAAGCAGTTCTTTGGCTGAGAGCCAATTAATATTTTCATTTGCCATCTAAATCAGGAGGGTCAAACTCAAATAAGTCGATGGGCCAGATCCAGACCACAGGGCCTCTCTCAAGCCAGGTGGCCTACCTCTGGATCCAGCCAGCAGGGGGCCTACCTCTGGAGCCAGGGGGCAAATGCTGCAGCTTTTAGTCACCAGTGGCAACCAAAACCACTACAGTTGGTGGCAGCATTCACCCTTTTGGTGTAGGCCACATTGACACTGTGGCTTCAGCAGCATCACTGAACAGTCCCCTTGGCCAGATGACCCACCTGTGGGCCACAGCCTTGTTTAACACCCCTGATCTAGATGAGAATAGATATTCTTTACTTCTGCAAATAAACAGATTGGGAGGGAAGTAGCAAGTAACAAGGAAGCAGAGTGATCTAAATCACGCTCTGTTAAGAGAGCATGTCTGTATTACATGATTATGGATGGCATCAGGCAGTCCTATGTCAAAACATACCTCTCTTAGTCCACATGTCACCTTCTGAACTGGAAGTAAAATTATCCAGAGCCACTCTACTAAGGTAGATACACTACTGCTAGCAAGAGAGATGGAGAATTAAAAACAGGCATCACCTGTTTCAGTAAAGGCTTACTTCTGTACCATTCCACTGTAGTAGATCTCAGATATGCTGCAATACATTCAAATGCCAGGCACTACATATCTGTAAGCAAAACAAGCTACACCTATAGCATGGAAGACTACTTTAGAAAGAAGAACTCAGAAGTACTTAAGGGTCTCTGCAGATCAGGGATAGGCAAAATGTGGCCCACAGGCTGGATGCGGCCTGCCAGGCCACTCTATCCAGCTCGCGGGGCCCCTACAAAATTTAGAAATTAATATTTATCTGCCCCTGGCTGCCTGTCTCGTGGCCCTCAATGGCTTGCCAAAACTCTGCAAGTGGCCCTCTGCCCAAAATAATTGCTCGCCCCTGCCGTAGATGATTACCTCAGCATGAGCTCTTAGTGCAATGTTGTTGCCAAAAGTGCTAATGTAATCTTCAGATATATAGAAAGGGGACAGTCAAAATAGTGGGTAAAGTGATTTATGTCTGTGTACACAGCACTACAAAATTCTGGTGTTCACTGTTCAAGGCAGACATAGAACTACTAGACAGGGTTCAATGGATGGCCACAAAAATGATCCAGGAGCTGGAAAAAAAAACAAACATTAAAATGTGAATCTCAAGGAACTTAATTTATTCATCTTATTCTCAAGAAAAACATTGGGGAAAAATTACTGGATTAATGTATTTACAAAGTGGAAAAGATAACTAGCAGTGTGGCCTTTCCACTTTGCTGAAAAGTGCATAACAGTACCCAATGGCTGGAAATTGAAGTTTGACAACTTTAACCTTGATATTTCCTAGGTGTAATGATCATTACATATTTGAATAGCAGAATAAAAAGAGAAAGTGGATGTGCATTGGGATCATAGCAAAACAGGACAAAGTAGGGTTACAGTCATCTAGTCTAGCCTCCTACTCAAAACAGGATCATCCCTGACAAAAAACCATTCCAGCCAAACATCTGTCCAACCTGCTCTTGGAAGCAGCCAAAAATGAAGACTCCA